CCGGATCGAAGGAATTTTTTCTGAGTGTTCGATCTTTGTATTAATAATTAAAAAATATATATTTCTTATTATTTTTTATTAATAATTGAAATAAAACAGAGGTTACAAAAATATTAAAATACTATAAAATAGATACAAAAAATATTTTAATTCAAATGAAGTTACAATACAATTGTACAAAAAAATTTAAACATACAATAAAACTTTCAAGTAATATTATTAAACTGAAACAAAATAAAAAAAATACACTTATATCAAATAATAAATACCTAAGGACCTATACTAAAACCTAACCAAAGACAAAACTAAAAATGAAACATTTCTAGTTAACTACATAAATATCTAAAAACAAAAAAATATTTAAAAAAGTAGTACCTACTTTAAATACAACATACAAAATATTTAAATAACTAATTTGATGAATTAATAACTACTTAAACCTATTGGTACAATAAACTTACAAAAATAGCAAGAAATCATAATATTATGTAATTAAATTTACAAATTCTCCTTATCGCTCTCGTTGTCGGACTCCAATTATGAGTCAGAATCCAGATTGGAGATATCTAAAAACTCGAACTCAGTCTGCTGAAACTGAATTAGATCAAGAGTTTCAGCAAAAAAGCTCTGCTTTCTCTTGGCATCTAATTTAGGCCTTTGTGCACTTAGAACAGGATCCGAAGACACAAGAAGCATATTCAGGATGTCTTAACAAAACATTCACGCGCCGCTATAAAATACTTAAACCTTGGATTACTCCAGGTTTACTGCGCTGTATTAAAAATAGAGATAAATTACACAAAAAATTTGTTCAGTTTCCGGATAATGCAATATTTAAAATTACTTATTATAGATATAGAAATTTTTGTAACAATTTATTAAAGAAATTGAAACGTCAATATGAAAAGTTGCAAATAATTAATGCAGGTCATGATAAAAAAAGATTATGGAAAGTCATCAAAAATATCACGAACATGACTAACTCGAAATTGTCCGCTCAACAATTAATTGTAAATGCAGACAATCCAGTGCAAACTGTTAACGCAGCAAATGAATTCTTTACTAGTGTAGGAAAACTTTTAGCTGAAAAAGCGGAAATAAACCTTCCGCTTTCAACTACAACCATGACCTCGTCACGCGCCTCACAACTGCACTCGTTTGTCTTAAACAACACTGACGAACTCGAAATTGAAAATATTATTATGACTTTAAGAAATGACTGTGCGTCAGGAATTGACAAAATACCTTGTTCTTTCATTAAACAAAATAGATTACATTTGATTTCACCCGTGACTTACATATTTAATCTCTGTCTATCAACAGGAACGTTTCCCAAAGTACTAAAAACAGCCTTTGTAAAACCTATTTACAAAAGCGGTAATAAGAGCAATATTAACAATTACCGTCCAATTGCCATATTACCATCTCTCTCTAAACTACTAGAAAAAAATAATTTACAAAAGGCTTGTTAACTATTTAGAAACGAAGAAACTTCTCTCGACGTCCCAATTTGGGTTCAGACAAGGACTATCGACAAACGACGCAGTCGATGAGCTGACGGAATACATCGTAAGAAATTTGGACTTGAGGAATAAATGTTTGGCTATATTCCTTGACCTCGCAAAAGCATTTGACACTGTAAACATACCAATACTTTTAAACAAGTTAGAAGCACTTGGAATTAGAGGAATACAGCTCAAACTTTTACAGGACTATCTTTCTGACAGAAAACAGCGCGTGACTATTGACAAAATAACGAGTGCTGAATTACCGGTTGAATATGGTGTTCCCCAAGGAAGCATCATAGGGACTATCTTGTTCCTTGTCTATATTAATCAACTATGCGCTCTCCCCCTCTCTGGTGGCAAGATCATATCTTATGCTGATGACACAGTCCTATTATTCAGTGCCCCAAGTTGGAATGAAATCTTTACACAAGCTCAATTTGGTTTTAACTCGGTAACCGACTGGCTTAGAGCAAATGCCCTGACACTTAATACTACCAAAACTAAATACATCACTTTCTCCTACAATATTTCCTCACAACCTGTTGAGAATGCTTACTCAATAGTAGTTCACAATTGTGTTGGCCCTCGATCTCTTGGATGCCTCTGTACTTGCTCAAAACTGGACAGCACAAGCAATATTAAATATTTAGGTGTCATAATTGACCAACATCTAAATTTCAAACAGCATATAGTGGCGCTAACTTCTAGAGTTCGAAAATTGATTTATGTTTTTAAAAATTTAAGATACTCGGCCAGCAGCGCCCTTCTCAAATCAGTTTATTTAGCCCTTTGTCAATCACTGTTGCTTTACTGCGTTACATCCTGGGGCGGTGCACATAAGACCACTCTGATACACCTGGAAAGAGCGCAGAGAGCTGTTCTTAAAGTGATCAACTTTCGTCCTTTCGATTACCCAACCCACAAATTACTAAACGAGTGCGATGTTCTATCTGTTCGGCAACTGTTTATCCTGCAAATAATTTTGAAAAAGCACTCAATTACTCCATATGATTACATGACTGTAACTAAGCAAAGACGACACGATCCCTTTTCATCTCGTACACAACTCCGCACAACACACTCACATAGATTCTTCTGCTTCCTTGGCACATTCCTTTATTTTAAAATAAATTCTACTTTGCATTATTTTCATATGAATAAAACTGAATGTAAAAAGACCGTCAAACTTTGGCTTAAGAGTAAAACCTACAATGATACCGAGGACTTGTTGGAAGTTATTTCATAATTTATATTTATATAATAAGTAATGTTTAACTATTTATCTTTTATAAATTGTAACTACTTATCTTTTATTTGTTAAATTTATAAAATCTTTATTTTTTTAAGCTTTGTTATGAAAAATGCACTATTATGCCTAAAATACAGGTACACATGTACTTAGTTTAGGCATCGCAATTGCACTATTAGGCACTATGATTAAAATGTTTAATTTTACCATGATTATTCTATATAATTTAGATTTTTTTTTTTTGTTTATTACTCATAGGAAATGAAACTATTTTTCCGGATTTAAATCGCGTATATTTGTTTTTTCAAACAAACCGACGTTTCGGCCCTTTACAGGTCCCATGGTCACGGTTGACTGAGGTGGTACAGTCTTCAACCAGTTATGTCTAATATTAATGCAAACCACCCTATTTTTTCACTATAGTTACAATAGTTATTAATTAAATACCTTATTTTTAATTTTACAAAGAAAACATTCCAATTTACGCTACATTAAGTTTTACAAATTATTTTATTGAATGAATTTTTATTAAGTTTAATTTATTATTAATTATTAATAGAAATTAGAATAAACTAAAACATATTAATTAGTACTGCAGTCTTATGTCTGTTTGGGATTTTTCATTAGAGGAAATACTGGATCCCAAACTGGTGGTACGGAGAAACCATCTTCCCTGTTGAAATTAGGATGTTTTTTAATTTCAATGGCCTCTCGCAGCATCCTGGGCAGATAACGGACTTCTTTTGCAAGGACCTGGGGTTTGTCAAACTTCATTGAATGTGTAGGTTTATCCATGACATGCTCGCAGAGCGAGCGAGCGAGCGAAGTCCGTTATCTACCCAGGATGCTCCGAGAGGCCATTGAAATTAAAAAACATCCTAATTTCAACAGGGAAGATGGTTTCTCCGTACCACCAGTTTGGGATCCAGTATTTCCTCTAATGAAAAATCCCAAACAGACATAAGACTGCAGTACTAATTAATATGTTTTAGTTTATTCTAATTTCTATTAATAATTAATAATAAATTAAACTTAATAAAAATTCATTCAATAAAATAATTTGTAAAACTTAATGTAGCGTAAATTGGAATGTTTTCTTTGTAAAATTAAAAATAAGGTATTTAATTAATAACTATTGTAACTATAGTGAAAAAATAGGGTGGTTTGCAAATAGTTTCATTTCCTATGTGTAACAATCGCGAAAACCTAAGAACTCGGATTTGTTTATTACTGTTTATTTTAATATTTTATCTTCAATTACATTGTTTTCATTATAATTGTATTAGATTAAGTCATATATTGAAATAAATTTATCTTATCTTATCTTATCTTATCTTGTCTTAATCAAATAATATAATATAATATCAAATAATTTAATAATATATAAAATAAGTTCTTCATCCAACCCGGTAATATTTGCAGTTTTTTTGGGAAACTCGAAAAACTTTCTGGCTGTATTCCCATCATTCGTAGTTCCTGAACCTTGT